TCAGGGAGGCGGGTGACGAGGAAATAGAGAGTGAAGTACATCGGGGGGGGGTTTGCGGCGCAGAACTCGGCTGAAAGGGTGGCACAAAAGCGAGAGTCAGTAGCGCGCAGGTGAGAAACTAGGTCCTCAGCAGTGGTGAACGAGGAAAGATCGGGGAACAGGTACGGTAGCATGAGTCGACCTATGGCTGCAGTGGCCGGGGAGGAGTAGCGCGCAACTACAGCGTCGTACAGTGTCTTAGCAGTTCTGTGCTGGCTGAAATGCGCTCGCTCAGTAATCGGCAGGTGGTTCCTAATAGCTAGGCGTGCAGCAGCATCACGAGTCTACCACTGGAAGCATTCTAGAGCAGGAGCATCAGCAGCAGGAGCAACGGCAGTGCCAGAGACGTAATCAAACAGGGAAACGCCATCTTTGGCATCAGTCAGAAGGAACAGCTGGAGATCGTCTAACCATACAGTGAACTCGATGGGACGACCGTCAGGCTCGAACGCTAGAACGTTAGGCGTCGCCATATTGGCTTAAGGCAGCAGGCAGAAGGCAGCAGGCAGCAGGCAGCAGGCAGAGGCAGCAGGCACCAAGTAGGAGGCAGGAGCAGTAAGCAGCAGGCAGGCAGCAGGCAAGCTGCAGGCAGGCGCCAGCAGGCAGCAAGCAGGCAGGCAGGCAGGCGGCAGGCAGGCGGCAGCAGGCAGCAAGTAGCAGGCAGGCAGCAGGCAGACAGTAGGCAGGTTGCAGGCAGGCGGCAGCAGGCAGCAAGCAGGCAGGCAGGCAGTAGGCAGGCAGGCTGCAGGCAGGCGGCAGCAGGCAGCAAGCAGGCAGGCTGCAGGCAGTAAGCAGGCAGGCGGCAGCAGGCAGGCTGCAAGCAGGCGGCAGGCAGGCGGCAGCAGGCAGCAAGTAGCAGGCAGGCAGTAGGCAGGCAGCAGGCAGGTTGCAGGTAGGCGGCAGCAGGCAGCAAGCAGGCAGGCAGGCTGCAGGCAGGCGGCAGCAGGCAGCAAGCAGGCAGGCACGCAGGCTGCAGGCAGTAAGCAGGCAGGCGGCAGCAGGCAGGCAGCAGGCAGGCTGCAGGTAGGCGGCAGGCAGGCGGCAGCAGGCAGCAAGTAGCAGGCAGGCAGCAGGCAGCAAGTAGCAGGCAGGCAGCAGGCAGGAAGCAGGCAGGCTACAAGCAGGCGGCAGTAGGCAGCAAGCAGGCAGGCAGGCAGGCTGTAGGCAGCAAGCAGCAGGCAGGCAGTAGGCAGGCAGCAGGCAGGCTGCAGGCAGGCGGCAGCAGGCAGCAAGCAGGCAGGCGGCAGCAGGCAGCAAGCAGCAGGCAGGCAGTAGGCAGCAAGCAGCAGGCAGGCGGCAGCAGGCAATAGGCAGGAGCGGCCTGAGGGCTGCGTGAGGCTGCTGGCTGCGTGTGGCGGCTTGCTGCACGAGGCTGCAGGCTGCGCGTGGCTACGGGCAGCGCGCGCGGCCGCAGGCTACGTGCGGCGACGGACTGCGCGAGCTGCGGGCTGCTTGCAGCTGCGGGCTGTGCGTGGCTACAGGCACCGTGCGCGGCTGCATTCTACGTGCGGCTGCGGGCTGCGCTGGGCGACGGGCCACACGTGCGCGGCTGCGGGCTGGTCGCTAAGCTACGGGCTACGATGGGCGACGGGCCGCGCTGGCGTGGCCTAATCAGGTTTCGCACGGGCGGCTTAAGGGGCGCACAGGCGGGGCCGAAACGGGCTACGCGGGCTGCTGAGACGGCGCACGTGGGAAAAAAAAGGACCGCCCGAGGCGCGCGCGGGCAGCCGAGGCGCGCGTAGGCACTAGACAAAACAGGCAATCGTGGTGGGCCCTAATCCTAGGTCCTAAGGACCTATGCTCTATACCATGTTAGAATCTTACGGGAAAAGGTAGTTTCGACTATCGAGAGGGTTGGAACAAAGTGAAAACCCAAGGCGTTGTACTCCACAGTAAGTACCCCACTAAGCCTACCCAAAGTATAACACATATATGCATATGTTTGACACTTTCCTGCAGGGCAGCCTGCACGAGGAGATCTGGCTGCGCCGCCCACCTGGTTTCACTGAGTCTTTTCCTGCAGGTACTCAGTGGAGTCTTTGGCGGCCAGTCTACGGTCTCCGCCAGGCGCCTCGCGAGTGGCACGACACACTGAAGACTACACTTGTGGCTCTTGGGTTTGCTCCTTCTACTGCTGACCCTTCGCTGTTTCTACGCACCGACACCTCGCTGCTGCCGTTCTACATCCTCATGTACGTCGACGACCTCGTCTTTGCCACTGCTGACACTGAGGCACTGACCCTTGTGAAGTCGCAGCTGCAAAAGAGACACACCTGTACTGACTTGGGTGAACTGCGTAGCTATCTTGGCTTGCAGATCACCCGGGACAGAACACGGCGCACCATCACCCTGACTCAGTCACATATGGTGCACCAGGTCCTTCAGCGCTTCGGCTTCCAGTTCTCCTCGCCACAGCCCACTCCTCCGTCTACCAGCCACTCGCTCTCAGCTCCACCTTCGGACGAGTCCGTAGAGCCGAGTGGTCCGTACCCAGAGCTTGTGGGTTGCCTCATGTACCTGATGACGTGCACACGACCTGACCTCGCGTACCCTCTCAGCCTTCTGGCTCGCTACGTGGCTCCCGGTAGGCACCGAAAGGTGCACTGGGATGATGCGAAGAGGGTACTGCGTTACTTGTGCAGTACGTCGGGCATGGGGCTCGTGCTTGGAGGACGGGGTCCAGTTGTCCTCACCGGTCACGCAGATGCTTTTTGGGTTGATGACTCAGCTACGCAGTGGTCGTCACAGGGTTACACCTTCATCCTTGGTTCCGGCTCTGTTTCCTGGCGGTCTACCTGCTCGTCTTCGGTTCTCAGCTCGAGTTGTGAGGCCGAGATCTACGCAGGGGCCATTGCTGCACAGGAGCTACGCTGGCTCACCTACTTGCTGACTGACTTGGGCGAGCAGCCTCGTTCACCTCCTATTTTGTACGTATAGAACAAGGCCATTATTGCCTTGTGTCAGGAGCACAGACTGGAGTACAGAACGAAGCACATCGCTCTGCGATACTTTCTTGGTCGAAAGTTGCAGCAGTGTGGCCAGCTTCGTCTTGCGTACGTGGCCACTGGGGCCAACACTGCTGATATATTCACCAAGGCACTTCCGCGTGGTGATCGTCAGCGCTTCTCTACTGTGTTAGGCCTTGTGCCTACTTTGCCTCACTTGCTCACTGCTTGACTCTGTTTGTACTGTAATCTTTTTTTATACCTGCATGCTTACACTTGCTAGGTTATGATCACTGTATGGATTGTTCTTTTTATATAACTCTGCATGTGAACTGGCCTTGTGGCCTTTTGCTTGTGCTCGGACTGTGTGGTGACTTTGTGATCCACCCTGAGTTTGCTTTGCTTTTCTTGACTGGTCTTGTGACCACTTGTTCTCCCCCACTTTGCCTATGGGGGTGTGTCAAAATGTTATATAGCTTATATTGTGTAGGCGATAGTGGGGTAGCCCATTAGGGGTATAACCCAAGTAGGGTTAGTACTTGTACCCAACTCTTTGCTAGTTTATTCAATCTCGTTCATTATTCTGACAAGATGATGTCACATGTGCATGCCACACATTCAACAAGTTAATGCAAAAGCATGCAGCAATTTGTTTCGAAGGGATTAACTATCTGGATCTGTAATTTCCCAATTATAACATTTTACAACGGAAAACTTGAAATTATGGAAATGGAATAAAAATGTAGTATGAAAACCTTTTGCGCATGATTTAATTGGCTGACCTGGGTTCGCGGGGCTCATGGAACTGGCTGACCTGTGAGGTATTTTCCCTCCATATTTTCGCAAGCCCCCCTGCTGGGTGCAGGTGGATAATTGCAGGCTCCCGCTCTCTGTTGAACTGTACCTTCTGAATTGCATGGTGACATGAAACGGAATGGAATGGGGAGCAACAATCGACAAGGCTATTCAGGTAGGTTGGTCACAAATGAGGAATGCTGATGAGCTCCAGGTGGCAAGCAGCCTCCCTAGTCACCACAAGGGCTCCTGGATCAGAGGGTACTTTTCCGCGAGTGGTTAGCGGGAATAAAACGGTGTCTGGGAGAATTCCACTTTCAGTTCCGCAACTAATAATGAAAATGAAAATCCCGAAAATGCGTGAGCATTCTACTCGTGGCACTCTGCATTGGCAGGGTGAACCTGGGTCACGTCACGACTCGTTTCTGAGCTTTCAGCAGGAGAGGCGACGTCAGTTTCAACTTCAGTGTTCCTGGCAGCACGATATGCGGCGAGATGTGCGCACCAGATCCAGTTGGATTGTGCAAAGAAAAATCCTGTTCGTGCATCAGTCGACAAGGTGCGGTTACGAGGGGTGAAAATCTTGATCCACGGGAGTACCACATGCCTAGGCACTCGCTACCCAGCCGCGCACCACATTTGATGATTTCCCTCCTGTCGTCTCCTACCGTGCTGCACTTGTTTGATGAGAGCCATTGGCACCTACGGTGACACCAACGCAGCGTAAAAATAAGTATAAATGGCAGTGTCCATAGTCGATCACGAGAAAGTTTAATCAAGCCGTTCTAACAGGTTCCTACCAGCCAGTCACTGTGCGACTGAGGTTTTTTAGGGTAGCGTACACATCGAACACATCGCAACTTTCGAGGCAGCGATGACGACGCGAAAGCTCCAAGGTCCGCTCTTCCTCCTTGCGGTATTGCTTCTCAGCGCTGTCGTTGCGGCGCACGCGCAGTACTCTGCCTCCGGACCGGAGCGCTAAAGAATATCGAATACAAACTTGGAAGTCAAGGAATGTCGACCTCGCTCCAGTACATGAGGGAATGCGGTGAGTGCTGCACGTCATGTGCCCGGCCACGGTGGCCGATCATTCCGTGCACTCCGTGTTTTTTTTTTTTTTTTTTTTCCAGGTAAAAAAGAACACAGGTTTGGGCCTTTTGCGATGCTACGTCAGGCCAGGCTAATATTATTCCCGCTTTTCTCTTGTTTCCCCATGCACAGGATTCAATACCACACTTCTAAAAAGCCTGCCCACAATGAAGACAACGCTACTCGTGCCAGTGAACGCGGGGTGGGACAAGGTCAGCTCTAAAGTACTGGCCTACCTTCGCAAGAATCCCACCACAATGTGGCAGCTGTTTGCGTACCACCTGCTGGCTGGTCGCTACACGGCCCAGAACCTCACCGCGATACCCTACAACACACAGGTGAGCACTCACTCCCACGGGAAAATCTAAACTTTAGAGGAGTAGCCCTCTTGAACATGGTCTGCGTGCTTGCATGCTTTCCGCCTTCCCATCTGCAGTGAATCGCATTCATGCATTTCTTTTTCGCATCTGTCTCCTTCCATTTGTTCTCCGATAGTCTCCTTATAAACTCCTCGTTCCTCTCTGCTACTCATGCGCCCTACCACACGGCAGGTTCCAACAGGGCTTGGGCCTGGGTCGAATGTCGTGTGCCTCCCGATGGTGGTCGCGCGATTTGGGAGGCCTGGCAGCAGTAGTGCCGCGTCTGTGAAGCTGAGCAACGTGTAACTGGATGTCCAGGTGGCCGTGCATGGGGTGGACAGTGTCATCATTCCTAACATAGTCTAGTAGCTCTATCTCCGTTGCCCACGTACTACTTCCATCTGCACTGCAACCATATTCGGCAATCCCTCAACTAACAAGGTAGTAGCACTTAACGCCGAATTGTCATTTTCATCGGCTTACACCAGTACATTATGGCACTTTGCCGTGTCGCAATACTCAAAAGGGTAGTTGTTTGGTGCAACCATTGCCTCTGTGGTGATGGAAAAGGGCTTGTCGTAACTCGGTAGCATGTAGTCCACTTGAATCCACAACGCCCGATACCCCACCTGCCAACAAACCAACCAACAACCAGTAAGCACAAAACTGAAATGGATTTTTTTGCCATTCTCTTCAATGAAAAGCAAGCAAGCACTTCCATATAACCTTCCCCTTGGGAATACCTTACTCACAGGAGGGAATCGCCCCCTAGGAACATCGGTTAGCAGCAGAATGATGATCAATGTCTCACCTTGGGAATGTTGCTGACAGTGGCGCTGAAATGCCACTTGCCATCGACCTTCCTTGTAGGGGATGTGACTTTATCTTGGAAGAAGGCGATGGGCTGCACACAGAGCTTGCCCAGCCTGCTCACGTAGCTTCCTGCCGGGCCTTGGAACGGCAGCACACTGCCATGCAATCACACGATATGAACCGTATGGCGTACAGTCACATGGCGTACAATCACATGGCGTACAGTCAAATGGCATACAGTCACATGGCATCAGTCACATGGCATCAGTCACATCGCATCAGTCACATGGCATCAGTCACATGGCGTACACATGGCATACAGTCACATGGCATACAGTCACATGGCATAGTCACATGGCATAGTCACATGGCATAGTCACATGGCATACAGTCACATGGCGTACAGTCACATGGCATGCAATGAAGTACCACGTAGTCACATAATATGCAGGAACGTGCTCTACAGTAAAATGCCATACAATCACATGTCACAAATTTAGACAGAAAAGGTACAGAATCAACATACACGACACATACAACACTAGAGAAAAGATGTACTGGCGGTACAGCAAGGCATCAACGACGCAGTAAGCACATGACACACAGCAATGGGAGGGCCAGATTGTAGCCCTGCCTCTCACCATCCCATCCCACCGCTCACCATCCCGTCCTGCCTTGGTGCAGAATGAATCGAAAGTCGCGCCGCTTGCTGCCCATGAAGGTCTTCCCAGTCCTGCCAGCAACACACGAGTAGACGGATGGGGAGAGGGGAGGGGGGGAGTGAATGGGAGAGAGTGGGAGAGAGTGGGAGACGTTGGGTGGGAGTGGGAGATAATGGAAGTGCAAGGGGGAAAGGGAGGAGGCATGAGAAATCAGGATGGGGGCGTTGGGGGAAGTGGCCAGACTTGGGGGCATTGGGGGTGTAGGTTGAAGCAGAGAGCAGCGGTGAGTCTTTGTGTGCAGGTCAACGCCTCCTATGCCATGCGGTCAGAGTGGTCGGAGGGGTCAATGTGGTCCGAGTGGTCAGAGTGGTGAGAGCGATGAGAGCGATGCTCACCATGCTCCCACCATTCCCTCACCATGCTCCCACCATTCCTTACCATGCTTGCACAGCCACAGGTTTAACCTCTGACGTGGCATGGATGGTGTAGGAGGGCCAATCAAAGCGCCACGTCAGCTTGGGCCAGAGCACTTGTGTGAGCAGAGGGGAGCAGGACCAAGGCAGCAGCAGCAGAGGGGCAGCAGGGCGGCCCCCCAACGCCAGCGAGAACAGCCCCGCCCTCCCAATGCTGCTGCTGCTGCTGGTGTCGGTAGGATTGGATGAGGAGGGGGGTGAAGATGAGGGTTGGTGAGAGGAGGAAGGGGAGGAGGTGTTGGGTGGGAGCCAGGTGAGGGAGGGGCGGCTGGAGGGGGGCAGGGCGGCGCAGGAGGAGGTGTCGTGGAGCAGCGCGAGGAAGAAGGACATGCAGGCGTCGTAGCCCTGATGGGGGGGGAGTTGAGGAGGGGCGAGGGTAGGCGTGAGTGGGGGGATGGCAGTGCAATACAAAGGCAAGCAGGCGAGCAGGCGAGCAAGCAAGCAGGCGAGCAGGCAAGCAGGCGAGCAGGCAAGCAGGCGAGCAGGCAAGCAGGCGAGCAGGCAAGCAGGCGAGCAGGCAAGCAGGCGAGCAGGCAAGCAGGCGAGCAGGCAAGCAGGCGAGCAGGCAAGCAGGCGAGCAGGCAAGCAGGCGAGCAGGCAAGCAGGCGAGCAGGCAAGCAGGCGAGCAGGCAAGCAGGCGAGCAGGCAAGCAGGCGAGCAGGCAAGCAGGCGAGCAGGCAAGCAGGCGAGCAGGCAAGCAGGCGAGCAGGCAAGCAGGCGAGCAGGCAAGCAGGCGAGCAGGCAAGCAGGCGAGCAGGCAAGCAGGCGAGCAGGCAAGCAGGCGAGCAGGCAAGCAGGCGAGCAGGCAAGCAGGCGAGCAGGCAAGCAGGCGAGCAGGCAAGCAGGCGAGCAGGCAAGCAGGCGAGCAGGCAAGCAGGCGAGCAGGCAAGCAGGCGAGCAGGCAAGCAGGCGAGCAGGCAAGCAGGCGAGCAGGCAAGCAGGCGAGCAGGCAAGCAGGCGAGCAGGCAAGCAGGCGAGCAGGCAAGCAGGCGAGCAGGCAAGCAGGCGAGCAGGCAAGCAGGCGAGCAGGCAAGCAGGCGAGCAGGCAAGCAGGCGAGCAGGCAAGCAGGCGAGCAGGCAAGCAGGCGAGCAGGCAAGCAGGCGAGCAGGCAAGCAGGCGAGCAGGCAAGCAGGCGAGCAGGCAAGCAGGCGAGCAGGCAAGCAGGCGAGCAGGCAAGCAGGCGAGCAGGCAAGCAGGCGAGCAGGCAAGCAGGCGAGCAGGCAAGCAGGCGAGCAGGCAAGCAGGCGAGCAGGCAAGCAGGCGAGCAGGCAAGCAGGCGAGCAGGCAAGCAGGCGAGCAGGCAAGCAGGCGAGCAGGCAAGCAGGCGAGCAGGCAAGCAGGCGAGCAGGCAAGCAGGCGAGCAGGCAAGCAGGCGAGCAGGCAAGCAGGCGAGCAGGCAAGCAGGCGAGCAGGCAAGCAGGCGAGCAGGCAAGCAGGCGAGCAGGCAAGCAGGCGAGCAGGCAAGCAGGCGAGCAGGCAAGCAGGCGAGCAGGCAAGCAGGCGAGCAGGCAAGCAGGCGAGCAGGCAAGCAGGCGAGCAGGCAAGCAGGCGAGCAGGCAAGCAGGGCGAGCAGGCAAGCAGGCGAGCAGGCAAGCAGGCGAGCAGGCAAGCAGGCGAGCAGGCAAGCAGGCGAGCAGGCAAGCAGGCGAGCAGGCAAGCAGGCGAGCAGGCAAGCAGGCGAGCAGGCAAGCAGGCGAGCAGGCAAGCAGGCGAGCAGGCAAGCAGGCGAGCAGCAAGCAGGCGAGCAGGCAAGCAGGCGAGCAGGCAAGCAGGCGAGCAGGCAAGCAGGCGAGCAGGCAAGCAGGCGAGCAGGCAAGCAGGCGAGCAGGCAAGCAGGCGAGCAGGCAAGCAGGCGAGCAGGCAAGCAGGCGAGCAGGCAAGCAGGCGAGCAGGCAAGCAGGCGAGCAGGCAAGCAGGCGAGCAGGCAAGCAGGCGAGCAGGCAAGCAGGCGAGCAGGCAAGCAGGCGAGCAGGCAAGCAGGCGAGCAGGCAAGCAGGCGAGCAGGCAAGCAGGCGAGCAGGCAAGCAGGCGAGCAGGCAAGCAGGCGAGCAGGCAAGCAGGCGAGCAGGCAAGCAGGCGAGCAGGCAAGCAGGCGAGCAGGCAAGCAGGCGAGCAGGCAAGCAGGCGAGCAGGCAAGCAGGCGAGCAGGCAAGCAGGCGAGCAGGCAAGCAGGCGAGCAGGCAAGCAGGCGAGCAGGCAAGCAGGCGAGCAGGCAAGCAGGCGAGCAGGCAAGCAGGCGAGCAGGCAAGCAGGCGAGCAGGCAAGCAGGCGAGCAGGCAAGCAGGCGAGCAGGCAAGCAGGCGAGCAGGCAAGCAGGCGAGCAGGCAAGCAGGCGAGCAGGCAAGCAGGCGAGCAGGCAAGCAGGCGAGCAGGCAAGCAGGCGAGCAGGCAAGCAGGCGAGCAGGCAAGCAGGCGAGCAGGCAAGCAGGCGAGCAGGCAAGCAGGCGAGCAGGCAAGCAGGCGAGCAGGCAAGCAGGCGAGCAGGCAAGCAGGCGAGCAGGCAAGCAGGCGAGCAGGCAAGCAGGCGAGCAGGCAAGCAGGCGAGCAGGCAAGCAGGCGAGCAGGCAAGCAGGCGAGCAGGCAAGCAGGCGAGCAGGCAAGCAGGCGAGCAGGCAAGCAGGCGAGCAGGCAAGCAGGCGAGCAGGCAAGCAGGCGAGCAGGCAAGCAGGCGAGCAGGCAAGCAGGCGAGCAGGCAAGCAGGCGAGCAGGCAAGCAGGCGAGCAGGCAAGCAGGCGAGCAGGCAAGCAGGCGAGCAGGCAAGCAGGCGAGCAGGCAAGCAGGCGAGCAGGCAAGCAGGCGAGCAGGCAAGCAGGCGAGCAGGCAAGCAGGCGAGCAGGCAAGCAGGCGAGCAGGCAAGCAGGCGAGCAGGCAAGCAGGCGAGCAGGCAAGCAGGCGAGCAGGCAAGCAGGCGAGCAGGCAAGCAGGCGAGCAGGCAAGCAGGCGAGCAGGCAAGCAGGCGAGCAGGCAAGCAGGCGAGCAGGCAAGCAGGCGAGCAGGCAAGCAGGCGAGCAGGCAAGCAGGCGAGCAGGCAAGCAGGCGAGCAGGGAAGCAGGCGAGCAGGCAAGCAGGCGAGCAGGCAAGCAGGCGAGCAGGCAAGCAGGCGAGCAGGCAAGCAGGCGAGCAGGCAAGCAGGCGAGCAGGCAAGCAGGCGAGCAGGCAAGCAGGCGAGCAGGCAAGCAGGCGAGCAGGCAAGCAGGCGAGCAGGCAAGCAGGCGAGCAGGCAAGCAGGCGAGCAGGCAAGCAGGCGAGCAGGCAAGCAGGCGAGCAGGCAAGCAGGCGAGCAGGAAGCAGGCGAGCAGGAAAGCAGGCGAGCAGGCAAGCAGGCGAGCAGGGAAGCAGGCGAGCAGGCAAGCAGGCGAGCAGGCAAGCAGGCGAGCAGGCAAGCAGGCGAGCAGGCAAGCAGGCGAGCAGGCAAGCAGGCGAGCAGGCAAGCAGGCGAGCCGGCAAGCAGGCGAGCAGGCAAGCAGGCGAGCAGGCAAGCAGGCGAGCAGGCAAGCAGGCGAGCAGGCAAGCAGGCGAGCAGGGAAGCAGGCGAGCAGGCAAGCAGGCGAGCAGGCAAGCAGGCGAGCAGGCAAGCAGGCGAGCAGGCGAGCAGGAGGCAAGCAGGCGAGCAGGCAAGCAGGCGAGCAGGCAAGCAGGCGAGCAGGGAAGCAGGCGAGCAGGCAAGCAGGCGAGCAGGCAAGCAGGCGAGCAGGTAAGCAGGCGAGCAGGCAAGCAGGCGAGCAGGCAAGCAGGCGAGCAGGCAAGCAGGCGAGCAGGCAAGCAGGCGAGCAGGCAAGCAGGCGAGCAGGCAAGCAGGCGAGCAGGCAAGCAGGCGAGCAGGGAAGCAGGCGAGCAGGGAAGCAGGCGAGCAGGCAAGCAGGCGAGCAGGCAAGCAGGCGAGCAGGGAAGCAGGCGAGCAGGCAAGCAGGCGAGCAGGCAAGCAGGCGAGCAGGCAAGCAGGCGAGCAGGCAAGCAGGCGAGCAGGCAAGCAGGCGAGCAGGCAAGCAGGCGAGCAGGCAAGCAGGCGAGCAGGCAAGCAGGCGAGCAGGCAAGCAGGCGAGCAGGCAAGCAGGCGAGCAGGCAAGCAGGCGAGCAGGCAAGCAGGCGAGCAGGCAAGCAGGCGAGCAGGCAAGCAGGCGAGCAGGCAAGCAGGCGAGCAGGCAAGCAGGCGAGCAGGCAAGCAGGCGAGCAGGCAAGCAGGCGAGCAGGCAAGCAGGCGAGCAGGCAAGCAGGCGAGCAGGCAAGCAGGCGAGCAGGCAAGCAGGCGAGCAGGCAAGCAGGCGAGCAGGCAAGCAGGCGAGCAGGCAAGCAGGCGAGCAGGCAAGCAGGCGAGCAGGCAAGCAGGCGAGCAGGCAAGCAGGCGAGCAGGCAAGCAGGCGAGCAGGCAAGCAGGCGAGCAGGCAAGCAGGCGAGCAGGCAAGCAGGCGAGCAGGCAAGCAGGCGAGCAGGCAAGCAGGCGAGCAGGCAAGCAGGCGAGCAGGCAAGCAGGCGAGCAGGCAAGCAGGCGAGCAGGCAAGCAGGCGAGCAGGCAAGCAGGCGAGCAGGCAAGCAGGCGAGCAGGCAAGCAGGCGAGCAGGCAAGCAGGCGAGCAGGCAAGCAGGCGAGCAGGCAAGCAGGCGAGCAGGCAAGCAGGCGAGCAGGGAAGCAGGCGAGCAGGCAAGCAGGCGAGCAGGCAAGCAGGCGAGCAGGCAAGCAGGCGAGCAGGCAAGCAGGCGAGCAGGCAAGCAGGCGAGCAGGCAAGCAGGCGAGCCGGCAAGCAGGCGAGCCGGCAAGCAGGCGAGCAGGCAAGCAGGCGAGCAGGCAAGCAGGCGAGCAGGCAAGCAGGCGAGCAGGCAAGCAGGCGAGCAGGCAAGCAGGCGAGCAGGCAAGCAGGCGAGCAGGCAAGCAGGCGAGCAGGCAAGCAGGCGAGCAGGCAAGCAGGCGAGCAGGCAAGCAGGCGAGCAGGCAAGCAGGCGAGCAGGCAAGCAGGCGAGCAGGCAAGCAGGCGAGCAGGCAAGCAGGCGAGCAGGCAAGCAGGCGAGCAGGGAAGCAGGCGAGCAGGCAAGCAGGCGAGCAGGCAAGCAGGCGAGCAGGGAAGCAGGCGAGCAGGCAAGCAGGCGAGCAGGCAAGCAGGCGAGCAGGCAAGCAGGCGAGCAGGCAAGCAGGCGAGCAGGCAAGCAGGCGAGCAGGCAAGCAGGCGAGCCGGCAAGCAGGCGAGCAGGCAAGCAGGCGAGCAGGCAAGCAGGCGAGCAGGCAAGCAGGCGAGCAGGCAAGCAGGCGAGCAGGCAAGCAGGCGAGCAGGCAAGCAGGCGAGCAGGCAAGCAGGCGAGCAGGGAAGCAGGCGAGCAGGAAAGCAGGCGAGCAGGCAAGCAGGCGAGCAGGG